CACCATAATTGCTGAATTTCACAAGGAATTAGTCATTCTCAATATCTATAAGTTTGAGAGGGAAGGAAGGCTTCCAGATACCATATATGCGATTGTACAGGGTATTGTAACCCACTCTTCGACCAAGAACTTTAACTACGAGTGTTAAATCCATGCTTTTAACGGCCAGTGATTGGACTCGTTCTGAAAAATCTATGGTTGGAATCCCGTTAGAGGAGCCGAGAGTGATATCCTCTTCAAGTAGTTCGATATCATCATCATCTAGATCGATCGTTTTTGGATCCGGGTGAGCAACAGTAGATTTTGTCACAGCGTCCTTATAAGAAATAGCATGTGGGGAACCATCGCACTCCATTAGAGTAGTGGCACCATAGCTTGCTATGGTGGAAGAGTCAGGCGGGTCTTCATCTCTACGTCTTTGTTTTTTGGGGAGTCTGGCGTCGGCGGAGGGAGCTTCAGAGGGTTTCATACTGAGAAAATATCTATATGGTTTTATTATATTATATAAAATTAATTTAAATATTTATAAATTTAAATTATTTTTATGTAATAATTAACTAACAATTTAAATATAATTTACCTTAAAATTTTATAGTATATAAAAAATAAATTTATTTGAGATTGAAAATTTAAAATTTGAGCATCAATTAAAAATAAACTGTATCACATGAGTGGTGGGAGAAGTTTTTTAAAACAAAAATTGTTTTTGAGAGAAAAAATGGTGAGGGGGAATGATGAGAGAGTTTTCTAAAAGAAAGATTGGTCTTTGAGGGAAAATTTTGTTGTTTTTAAGGGAAAATTTGATTTTTTTTTTTTTGGGAATTTTGAAGAGAACGGCGGGAACTTTTGTCTCAAAATATTTTGAGTTAATTAGGCTTGTGATCCTCCAACAATCAGTACGTTTCTAGTTTGTAATCTTATTTTATATTTATTTCATTCCAGTCATGATTTAATTGTAAATCTCTTCTTAAATTTTCAATTCAATGCAATTTAGTCCTATATACATTTGTGCATAATTACTTTATACACACACTTATGTATATACTTATATATTTATATATATACTTTATACTTATGCTTTATATATATATATATATATATATATATATACACACTTAATACTTATAATATATATATATATATATATATATATATATTAAAATTGTTTTACTTTTTTCCTTAACTTTTAAAATGAATGCAATTCAGTTTATTTTTATATTAATTTCAGTTTTATATTTTACAATTATTTGAATTTAGTCCCTACTTGTTGTGTAATTTATTTAAATATTAATTTGTTCAATTTTAAAAAAACAAATGAGGAAATACGGAATATTGGTTATTTAAGCAGTGGAATTATGATGGATGAATGCTAAAGTTAATTTTTGATCCATGTCATTTTCATGCTTTTATGGGACTAAAGATTATCGAGAAGGAAAAAAGGCACCAACTTGGACACCTTGTACCTTCATCATCTGCTGCCATATGTCAACTTCACCTCATCAACTTAAAATACACAATATCCTATTTTTAGCTTAGTTTTCATTAACAAAAATAATTATTGCATGATATAAAAAGCAATATTGATATGGTGTGGGTAAAATATTTTATCAAAAGTATATAAATAAATTATGTATCTTTTTAAATTTAAATAGACATATATCATTTTATATATAATTGTGAAATTTTAAAAATGCACGATATTTCAAATTTAATTTGACTATGGAGGGGAAACAGATGTAAAGTTTAAGAGGCTGGCTGGGGAATGCAGCTCAGCTACACTTTTCTCTTGATTGCTCCTTGATATGGCATATCACAGCTGGGGCACACTTTTTTTCTCTTTATATTTTAAATAAATTTTGCAAAACAAATTTTAATTATTATAAAGTAATTTTTAAATTTTTACAAAATGTATCATTATTTTATAATTTGTAACGATATTTTATAATAATTTAGTAAGTTTAATAATAGTTTTATAGTTTTTAAAACTTTAATTTAGAAAACATTTTAAATCTAATTTAATAACCTATTTATATACTTATTTATTTTAATTAATTATAAAAAATTTTGTTTCAGCTGTCATGTCAATGTACGTTGACTAAGTTTACAGGTGGAGGCCAGACGTCCCATATACCCACTTGTCGACGCATGTGCTACGGTGACTCACAGCCACCAAGTCTTACTTACGTGTCCACCGGTGGATCAAAGATCATACACGTGGCAAACAATTGATGGCCTAAACTTCTTTGAACAAAATGTATTTTTCTTCCCAAAAAATCATTTTTTTCAACGGAATTTTTTCCCTTTCTTTTAGAAATATATTTTTGGAAACTAAAGAAAAATCAAGGGTAAATTACACGGTTCCTCACTCTACTTTATTCTCTCCTATTTCTCTCACTAAACTTTTAATTTTTCTAATTTGCTCACTAAACTTTAAATATTGAATCATTTTGATCACTCTGCCATGAACTTTTTAACGGCGTTATGATGTGGCACAAGAATCAAAATGATGCCTTTTTGAAAAACTCAAATATATTCTAAAAAGACGTCGTTTTTGTGAGTAAAACATGAGATAGAGTAAAGTTTAATGACTCATGCTGTAATTTATCATTTTTCCTTCTCTTCTCCATTTTCTCTCCACCGGCCACCACATCATTTTCATTATAGCCTTCGTCGAGCATCGTAGATGGTGGTCGTTCGGTCCCAAAATGGGATGGGTTGATTCGTCTCGACCCCTTGAGTCCAGATCTGGTGGTTGTTTCATTGGAAAATATCTCAAAACCCATAAATTTGGACTGAACGTTTTGGTTTCCTTACTTTCAATATCAAATTTGTGGATTTCGGAGTAAATTTCGATAAAATAGAGGTCAAATTTGAACTTCAACGTCGAGGCGAAGAGACCCATCCCATTTTGGGATAAAACGACCACCATCTATGACAGTTAACGGTGGTCGACGGTGACATCAGATCACTTTCTATTTTTATTTTATTTTTTAATTATTTTATATTAAATAATAATAAAATTCATTCATTAGATAGAAAACGGGGAGTGAGTAAAATGATTTAATTTGTAAATTCAGTGATCAAATTAGAGAAAATGAAAGTTTGGTGAGAAAATAAGAGAGGGAGTAAAGTAGAGTGAGGAACCCTGTAGTTTACCCACAAATAAATAAAAGGGCGTATTACATTGAGTCAAGAGTAATACGCTGCCTGATCCTCACGTTCAAGTCCTTATCACGTGACTTGCCCCGAATTTGCGGCACCGCCCTTCTTTTTAAATTACAGGGTGGCCTTTAATTCTGTGCAAAATCAAGCTGTCAAAAAAACATAAATCTCTTTTTTTTATTAGAAGAAAAAACATAAACCTCATTTATTCTATTTTATCTCCTTTTGTTTGGTTTTCATGGACAAATTTACCCTCTTTGAAAAAAGAAAAAGAAAAATAGTCTCATTTTTTCAACAGGAATGATTCGTGTGTTTTCCATGAGATTATGATCCAATTAATTTCATTTCTAACAATTTTTTTTGCTCTAAAAAAACAATGTAGAACCTATCAAATCATTTTTGTGATTAATAAAAATATTTTTTTTTAAATTAGGAGTTTAAATAGTTATGTTTGTAGGGTGTATGCATATTATTATTAATGATTAAAAAATATTTTGAATATACATTACTTTATAACCATTCATACTATTCAAAAGTAACAGTGTAGGTATAAAATTGTATTATTAATAACTAAAAATAATTCTAAACAAACATTATTTTGTAATCCCAAATTATTAAAAAATTACAATGTAGGTATAAAATCCGTGTTATTAAAGAAAAAAATTACTTCATTTAAAAAAAAACTAGTGTAGTTTTATAATTGTATTTTTCTTATTTTTAATTTAGACAAGTTCACATAAAAATTTAAAATTTAATTTATATTAAAATAATATTCAATAACATAAAAATAAGACTTACTACTATATAATAAATGAATCAATATTTTTTAATAGAAATCACTAGTTTTATTAAAAATAGAAAATATATAGAATTACAATGAATATTTACGAGCATAACCGTAAACTAAATTAAATTATAATTAGGACATTCTCTTATAATCATTAACATAAAAACTAGCCACTTAGATCACAAAAGGACCATAAAAGGAAAATGTTAAAAAACCTAACCAATGCTCGAACAAAATAAAGATATGAACAAATCTGATTGCGTCAACAAATGAACCACAAGAGGGGATGAAACTACTGAAAGACCCTAACAAATCGTAAATCAGAGTCAAGCGATGCGAGAAAACTATCCATGAGCACAAAATGCGTATCCAAATCAATCTGAAGGTTCAAGGCAAAGAATATCATCATGATAACAAATAAAAGTCATTTTGATCAGTCGTAACGATGTAAAATCCAACCCTGATAAAAAAGATAAACGAAAACAACGACAAAAAAATGTAAGCTATCAAAAGACAGAAAAAACGTGCCTCAAAGGTAGAGAACATGTCACAAAGTTATAACTATTCTTATAAAAAAAATAATAAATGATGTCGCCGCCGATTAAATAAGATTAAAGAATAAAAAGATATATTGATCAATAAAAATAACAGAAATTATAAAAAACAAAAAATTAAAAAAGAAGAAGAAAGAAAACGGCTAGGTTTTTTTTCTTTAAAACATCAATATTTAACCTTAAACAAATGCAATGCAGTTAATATAAAAAACTCTAAAGTTTGAATATAATTATTATGTTTTCCGGATATAAAATTATATCATTTAATGAATTAAAAAACCAACACATAAAATCAATGGATACATGAGAGGTTAAAAAATTAATTATTACTATTACATACATGGATGGAGCGATGAGGGAGTCGAGGAGGATAATCGTCTTCCTGAAATTTTAAAATTATTTTAGATTTTATAAATATTTTTATTAAAAATATGTTTACGCCATTAGAATTTTATTTTTTAAATTTAAGTTCGCCATCTAAAATTTTATAAATTTAAGTTCGTTCACTAATATAAAATCTTACTTAAGTCCCTAATAAAATATAATAATACTTTTAGTTCTCCATGTTTGTACTCTACTAAACCCGTTTGATATTATTCCCCAGATGAGTTTCGTTATCGGAGAAACATCTTTTAGTATAAGATGAGTTTTGAACACATTCCTTGAACATAAAGGATATTTTATGGCTATGAGTGGTATCACTTGAGATAAATTTTCCCTTCAACTTTACACTTATTCTTTTCCAGCTAAATTTGAACATCAATTTATCATTAATTTTTTGAGTTAATTTTTATTATTAGACAATTTACAATCAGGTAGTATGATATTTTAGTGTTAACATGAAAATTAAAAATAAACTTTATTCATTTCTTGTTGATATGATATTTATTATTATTTTTATCTTATCATATTTTTCACTAATACTTGAGGTTATAGAAAATTGATATTCTTAGATGTCTTTTACGATCACTTAAATTTTGATGTACTCGTATTATCATTTTCTATCATTCTATCGATTTAGCATAAATTGTTTTAGAACTCATGAAATTAAGAATACATTATGAGTTTAGGATTTTTTTTTTCTAATTTGGGGATTTAATTGTTTATTCGAAAAATATGAATGATAAGAAATATTCTATCGAGAAGATATATAACATATTGGTATCATTAGATGGTAGTTATAGGATATTAATTTTTAATAATATAACTTTTAATGATTTTTTATTAATTTAAAGTGAATTTCGAGAAAATTTGATATAAGAAGAAGAAAAAAAAATGAAATGCAAACATTTTAGTATTGGACTTACTATGAAATAGGATGAATAACGAATATTGGGTGATATGACTGTAACAATTTCACTATGAGAAAATAGAAATTACAATTTCTCTCGATCCACCAAGGAGAAAACAATGATAATTCTCTCTTGATAAAAAGGAGAAAACAACTCTCAAGAAAACTCTATAAATTCTCTAGTATTGGGAGAAAGCTAGAATGATTTGGGATGATTTTGAAGCTAAATGAGCTAGGGTATTTATAGTTGAAGCTTAAGGACTAATCTTACAAAAACCCTAAATTACAATGACTAAATTATGATTTTACCATTATAAAAAATTCAACAATTACAGCCAATTGTTGACTCCACCATTCGGTAGAATTGTTTATTTGGTTTTCAACATTCGGTGGGAATCTTTTCCAACTTTCGGTGCAAGTTGGTTCACCGAAATTCAATTTTCAACAATCTCCCACTTGAAGATTTGATTGGAACAATCATATCTTCACACCATTCTTTCTACCTTGTACCTTCATGTTGCTTACGTCTCTGACAGGCCACAGGATGATCGACATCAGGTAAATTTATCAACATTGATTGCATTCGTCATGAAATCTGCTATGTTATCTTTGGTATGGATCTTTTGCATATCTACCGTCCCTTCTTCCACATTTTCTCGAATAAAATGGTACTGAACCGTATGTGCTTTGTCCTTGAATGAAATGTTGGATTCCTTGCTAGATGCTAGGCGCTTTGACTGTCATAAAACAGAGAGACATACTCTTGATTGTGCCCAAGCTCCTCCAATAGCATCTTCAACCAAATTGCTTCTTTACTGGCTTGTGTAGCTTCTACATATTCTTCCTCTGTTGTGGATGTAACCACAACAGACTGCAATTTTGAAACCCATCTTACAGCTCCACCAGCAACGTTGAACACATATCCTGTAGTAGATTTGCATTTATCCAAATCCACTGCATAGGCGGAATTTACATACCCATTAATTAGTAAGTTTGATCCTCTGTAACATAATGCAACATTTGAGGTCTCTTTGATGTATCTCAGGATCCTCTTTACTGTATCTCAATACTTTTTGCCTGGATTCGTCATGTACCAACTAATCACTCCCACTGCTTGTGCAATGTTTGGTCTTGTGCATATCATATCAAACATTAAACTTCCCATTGCCGATGCATACGACACTTGAGACATCTCCATCCTCTCTTTTTTACTGCTAGGACTCATACTGGAGGATAATTTGAAGTTAATAGGAAAATGGGTAGAAATTGGCTTACAATCTTGCACACTGAATCGTGATAATATCTTCTTTAAGTAATTCTTTTGTGAAAGCCAAATCTTCCTATTACTTCTATCTCGGTGAATTTGCATCCCTAGAATCTTGTTTGTTGATCCCAAGTCCTTCATTTCAAATTCCTTAGCCAATTGTCCCTTTAATTCTTCAATATGATATTTGTTGGGTCCTGCAACTAACATGTCATCCATGTACAACAGCAATATAACAAAATCGTTATCACCAAACCTCTTGAAATAAGCACAAGGGTATGTGTTAAGTCTGTTGTATCCAAGGCACATAATGAAGGAATCAAATCTCTTATACGAACACCTAAGCGCCTGCTTTAGACCGTACAGAGATTTGTTCAACCTGCAAACTAAGTTCTTCTTTTCGTCTTCTTCAAAACCTTCAACCTGGAGCATGTAAATCTCTTCTTCAAGATTTCCATGAAGAAAAGTTGTTTTAACATCTAGCTGCTCTAGATGTAAGTTCAATGTAGCATACATTGCCAAGACTACTCGAACTATTGTTAGTTGAACCACAGGAGAAAAGATTTCATTGAAATCAATACATTCTTTTTGAGCATATACTTTGACCACCAGTCTTGCACGATACCTCTCCACTTGATCGTTACCATTTCGCTTGATTTTGAAGACCTATTTGTTACCAATTGGCTTCCTTCCTTGTGGTAGTGACACAAGGTCCCGTGTATTATTTTTATGAAGGGCTTCAATTTCTTCTTGTATCGCCATCATCCATAGTGAAGCGTTTGAGTTTTTTATTGCCTCATGGTATGTTGATGGCTCACCGTCACATGTTAAAAGGTAGTATGCAATATTTCCTTTTATAACATAATCTGAGTGCCAATTGGGACGTCTTCTCACACGATCTGATTGGCGAGTTGTTGAAGCTTCAGAACTCTCTGGTTCTTGTTCATCATGTGCTGGTTCTACTTCAGAAGAATCTCCTTGTTCAAACTCCTTTTCCATATATATCTGTGTAGTCTCTGACTTTTCAGCGCTACCATATTCTTCTTTTCTTTGTAGCTTATCTTCTACAAAGATAACATCCCTTCTAATGATCACTTTGAGGGCAGTGGGATCCCACAAGCGATACCCCTTTACACCATCAGCATACCCCAAGAATTTGCATTTCCTGGATTTTGGATCTAGCTTTGAAATACATTAGGAGTTGCACATCACGTACACAATACTTCCAAATACATGGAGGTTTGAATAATCAGCTGGTTTACCAGTCCACATCTTCATTGGTGTCTTCAGCTCTATTGCAGTTGATGGAGCTCGATTCACCAAATAACAGGCGATATTGACTACTTCTGCCCATAATGATTTTTCTAGGCTTGCATCCCTCAACATTGCTCTTGTTCTTTCTAACAAGGTTCTGTTCATCCGCTCTGCCACTTCATTTTGTTGAGGAGTGTTCACCACTGTGAACTGTCTTTTGATGCATTCTTTCCTGCAAAAGTCATCAAATTCTTCGTTTGTGTGTTATCCTCCATTATATGTTCTGAAATACTTGATCTTATTTCTATAATCAAGTTCCACCCGCGCTTTGAAGTTTTTGAAAGTTGAAAACACATATGACTTCTTCTTAATAGGGTACAACCAACATCTCCTGAAGTAGTCATCAATAAATGAGACAAATTATTTTTCTCCACCTAGGGATGTAACTGGTGCTTGCCATACATCAGAGTGAACAATTCTATAACACTTTTGGCTCTAGAATTTGATGTGTTAAATTTCAACCGGTGCTGTTTACATGTTATGCAATGCTTACACAAAGTAAGTGATACATTTATTAAGCCTGGAAGTAGCTTTTGCTCCACAAGGACTTTTATTCCTTGTTCTGACATGTGTCTAAGTTTCTGATGCCATAGCATTGCAGAATCTGAACTACATGAGGCAACAGAGGCTTCTGCTTCTACCAAAGTCTCTCCCTTCAGTATGTACAAGTTTGCAGCTATCTTTTCACCTTTCAGCACCACAAGCGCTCCACAGAACACCTTCATGATTCCTTTCCATGTTTCAAATTTTCTTGCATTATTATCCAACAATCCGTAGGATAATAAATTTTTCTTCAGGCCTTTCACGTACCGCACATCTCAAACAGATTTAATTGTTCCATCGTACATCTTCAATTTGATGGTCCCCACGCCAACGATCTCTAAGGCATGATTATTGCAACTATACACAGATCCTCCTGAGACAAGTTCATAATGATGGAACCATTCTCTTCTTGAGGTCATGTGATATGTTGCTCTCGAATCAATGAGCTATATATCTGTAAATCTTTTTCTGCCTTCCACGGTGGTTGATGCTTCACAACATAGAGCATCTCCATCATCTGAAGTGTTTGCGGTATTGCCTTATGGATTGAAATTTTTATTTAGACTCTAACAATCCTTCTTCAAGTGACTATTCTTTCCACAATTGTAGCACTTTAAATTCTTTTTGCTTATCGCCTTCAATCTACCATGTTTGTGAGTGCTACTTTGGCCACGTTCTGTTGATATCCCTCTCATCGTTGTTAACGCTTCTGCTTGTTGCAGATTTACTTGTATGTCTTCCTTGTTCTTGCGCCGATTTTCTTCTTATAGAACAACAGTTGCAACGTCATCGAAGACTAGACTAGTGACATTACTATTTTTCAAGTTGATGATGAGTTGATCATACGAATCGGGTAGACTTTGAAGTAGAAGTTCAGCTCATTTTTGTTCTCCTATTGTACATCTTAAGGATGTGGCCTCGTACAATTTGGTGAGATGATCCCATATCTCCTTAGCTGTTTTCTTCTCCTCGATGCTTGACAATACTTCATCTGCTAATGCTAGATGAAAGTTTTCCATAACATTCATGTCTATTTCGATCCATTTGCTGTCATCTGTGAAATCTACCGGTCTTTCATTGATAGCTGCTAGACAACCGTCTTTCCTCAGGATAACCTTCATCTTCAATTTTCACAATGAGAAATTTCTCCTATTGAATTTTTCAATATCAAATTTCGTTGCCATAGCTTCTATTACGGATAGCTCCCACTATTTTACTATCGTGAATAGTTCTCTGGAACCTTCAAAGAATGAGTAATACCTTCTTACTTTCTTATGTTGGAGGATCCACCTTTTGGTGACAACCACAAAGACAATAAACAAATATTACACTCAAATTTGGCTCGGATACCAATTGTTGCGGAAGACGGCTATTGGATAGAGCAAAATCACAACTGATAATTTGAGAAAATAAAAATAAAGATAAAGAAGACACCAAATTTACGTGGAAAACCGCTAAATAATATAGGGTAAAAATTACGGGCAACAGTAGAAGAATTTCACTATGAGAAATAGGAATTATAACTTCTCTCGATCCACAAAGGAGAAAACAATGATAATTCTCTCTTGATAAAAAAGAGAAAACAACTCTCAATAAAACTCTCTAAATTCTCTAGTATTAGGAGAAAGCTAGAATGATTTGGGATGATTTTGAAGCTAAATGAGCTAGGGTATTTATAGTTGAAGCTTAAAGATTAATCTTATAAATACCCTAAAGTACAATGACTAAATTATTATTTTACCATTGTAAAAAATTCAACAATTACAACCAATTGTTGACTCCACCATTCGGCGGAATTGTTTATTTTGTTTTTAACATTCAGTGGAAATCTTTTTCAACTTTCGGTGCAAGCTGGTTCACCGAAATTCAATTTTCAACAAAGTTGCCCTTTTTTATATAGAAAATAAAGAAAGATAATAGTTATATCATCATGACATTAATAATTTAACAATATATTGAAAAAAAATAAATTCGAAAAATAATGAAAAACTCGAAATTTTTTATAATTTAAAGACCAAATCAAGATGCTATCAAAAGTTCAATGGCCACTGAATTAGTTTACCCTAACTTTTAAATTTAGAAATTCTGCCTGGATTCGTTTTTAAGCAAAAAAAAAAATTACAAAGGAAATCAAATGCCATTTTATTATATATTACTTGTGGCAAAATTACAAATAAAGCTTGTCAAGGGAATCAAATAATCTAAAATGTTGCTTTGACTGTAGTTAATGAGAAAATCATGCGTCAAAACTTATTTAATGAGCTAAGACTTTCGGTATTAAAAGGTGTGATAGTTCCGTTAATATATTGATAATTAGGAAAACGAGATTCAATAATATTAAACAAACTGATACGATTGGACACGTGGTTGGTGGTGGTGAACCAAACAATGACACCCAATAAAGGCAGACAGACATATGAAATGATCCCACCAAACTTGTCCTTTTGGGGTTTGGGGGGGGACCCTTTCTTGTTTTTGGTCGACAGCGGACGCCCCCCTTATCTTAGACACTCATCTTCCTTTTCGAAGAAAATAAAAAACATCCCATTCGCATTGACAGTTATACCCTTTTCTTATTAGTCGAAAAAACATCCCTCTCATTTTGTTTATGAGCTGGATCGAACCACATCGTTTTACGCTGTTTCGTTTTTGAATCTTCTCACACCATTATGATATGACTTAAAAGAAATGATTTTTAATTGTTAAAAGACACATAGACTATGACGTCAGAAAAAAATAAAAGATTTTTATTTCCCACGACCACCCATTAACTGTTCATCTTATTCACCTATTTGTCTTCATTCTCCATCACCCCATAATATTTATGTTTAATAAAACAGAGATTAATATTTAAAAAATAATTTTTACGGTTAAAATCCCTAACCTAAAAATTATTGTGAAAGGAAACTTGATCGGAGGAGAAGAAGAAGATTTTTCAACACTGAAGAACCAGCAGTTGAATGGTTTCAAGAGAGAGAAGAGGTTTTATTGAGGTGACGATGAAGTGCAGTTTATGGGTATGATAAATATGATTGCAAGAGAAAGAAGATGGTTTTTGAAGGATTTTTGAGAGAGAAAAATGATTTTTTTTAGATGTGTTCTTAGAAAAAGAATGATGGATTCATCACTCTCCGAGCAAACATCAACAAAGGCTGTACAACAATGAGCAATTTCATAATGTTTCAATATGATTTCCAGAAAACAAACATGGCAAGAACCAGAACATGCAAAAAGTTGTCTTAATATTTCTTGTTACCTAAAGGATGGCATACCTTTATGTTTTCATTAGTTTCCTTATGAGATGAAGTATAAATCACAACTTTAATCTCTTCATTTACTCTTTCAAATATACGTGGTGTTTTTACGTGCTTATTTGAGAAGGAATACAATGACTTTGGTTTGGGCTCTACCATAGCACCAATAGATTTCGAGATTGGGATACATCTAAATGCGATGTGAAATTCGGGATTTGATTCAATGGTTTGATGAGAGGAGGCGCTTGCAAACAACCATTGATGAATCAGTTTTCCTTCGCCACCTTCAGTGTGCCAAGGTTGCAGCAGAAATGATTATGGAGAATAAAGACAAATAGGTCAAGAAGATGAGCAGTTGAGGAGAGAGATGGGGAAATTGGTGAGGAAGAAAAAAAAAAGGTGAAACTAGGAAAAAAATATATAGGGTGAAAAATATGAGTGATGGAGAATGAAGATCTAAAATGGTGTAGTTTTGATTTAGATTTATTTTTTCAAGGAAATAAAACGATATCGTTTTTGTAGAGATTGTCATGTTATAATACCATTAGCAATTTAACGATTAAGTGATCAAAATATGAACAATTTAAAAGTTAAGTAAGTAAATTAATTTTTTTGAAAGTACACTAAGTAAAATACGAATCACATGAAAGTTCAGTTATCAAATTTTTTAATTTACCCACAATTTAATTATATTGATAATAATATAGATACAAAACTTCAATAATTTAATGAAAAGTTATCGAGAGTTATTCAATGTTTACCTCTTAATGTTCTTAATAATATTTTCTTATATGATATATATATTTAAAACATATAATATAATAAAAAGATAACTGCTTAATTCACCACTTATAATCACCTTAATTTAACAATGAGGGGTCAAGATCATCGGAGGAGTCGAGATCATCGGAAAAGCATAGTAGTTGCAATGTTTGTAGATAACGTTAACAAAATGATCTATCTTTTTACACATAGGAAGCTTTCCAAGGTTATGAGATTGTTTTGGACCTATATATTGCTTACCGGAATGCGAAGAGGTTGTCGAGCAAAACCACTTTTGCTTTTGTTAGATTCAGAAACTCATCGGAGGCTAACACAACAATTCCAAGAGGTGTGATACATGCACCAGAGTCCATAATGATAATACATGCTTCTTTGGACTAATGTTTCTACCTGAACCTATTAGAAGTACAAAGTCTCGAAGATTCAAAGCATATCTATTCGGTAAGCATAGTGTGAATGAATCATTAAACGATTCTAATGTTGCTCCCTTTAATGTTTCAGATTCGAGGTCGAATATTTTTGAAGAAAAGAAGGATGATACATGCATCACAAGGCTCACATCAAAAGAATAAATAATAACTCTTCCAAATGATCAACTCGTCCAAGCCTTGGAAAAAAAGACCAGGATAACATCACGTTTGATTCTTCAACAAGAGCAACATTCATTAATTTGCTACCACTTCCCTATCAAAGTGGTGGTAGAAAAATATATGGGTATTCCATTAACCGTGGAATTACTCATGTTCAGGGGAAATATGGTTTTGAAGGTTGCTTTTGTTTGTTGTTTATTTGCCTTTTTTTCTTATTATTATATGTACTATTTTCCTCCAACTAGTATTAGAGGGATTTTAACGAGACATATAATAATAAACCATGTATGTTTTATTTTTAAATACATACCTTTTTACCAAGGAAAGAAAGAAGAACGATTTTATGAAAAGAGGTCCAAGTCAGAAACATTGGAAGAGAACATGAATGCTTAAAGATTCAAGAATAATCAAGGATGTTCTCTTAGGAAGCCGTCACAATAGAACACTATAGCAAAATAGAATTGAGGGCCAAGAAGAATCAAGATGGTGTAGATCCGAATAGAAAGTAGTTGTCAATCTCGTGGATGATTCACTCGTAAAAAACTCAGTCATTTGAGGGTATGAACAGAATGTAGTGATTTGAATTGAGATGAGCCGCTAGATATAGCTCAAAATGTGCAACCCAACTCTAATGGATCTAATTATCTTGATATTCCTATTACAATGATCAGTAGCTTTATAAATAAGCTTTCTAATGGTTGGATTGAGTATATAGTGGGGCCTGCTAAAGCAAAAGGGGTAAGGAAAAACAAAAAATCAGAAATAAATACAAAATCAATGGTAAGAGGAGAAAAATAAACTAAGGCACATGAATCTTCTCCTTCTAGGAGTATCTCTTATTCTATCATCAAGGACCCACAAGTTCCAAACAATGACATTAGGTAACTGCAAACTGTAGAACTAATATTTTGATATAATAAATAAGGGTAAAATATTTTTGGACTAAATTGAATTTATTCATTTTTATCAAAATAATTCAAAGTCCAATCAAAACTTTAAAATGAGTATTTTGACTAAAAGTTTTGAAACTTCTACAATAGTTTCAAAACTTCCCAAGGCAATTTCCCAAAGAGATTCGATACATTTAAAAAGTTTTGAAACTATCTTAAGAGTTTCGCAACTTTCCCTAAAGTTTCGATACTTTGGCTCAAACAGTCATATTTTTCCAATGACTCTTTCGAAGAGTTTCGAAACTTTGTATGCAGAAAGTCTTCCAACAGCTCCAAACCTTCCCAAATGGCTAGAAACGACTAATAAATCATTCCAACATATAAAAACAAGTGGAGGACACTTGAAGAAGGTTGAACAACACCTATCCAAGCATTCGAACACAAGAGAAAAGCTTTTCGATCCTTATTTTCTTTCTCTTGTAAATATTGGTGTTTTGAGCTTAATTGTATATCCTTAGGTTTTGTTTTTGTGAGCTGAATCTTTTTAAACACCTACCTAGAGAGGTCTTGTTTACATATTTTTTATCCTTTGTTAAAGGGTTTTGATTATAGTTTAGCCAAGTGAAAAACTAGGGAATTGTAAAGGTTATCTCTTTGTCCTTGCATAAAAAAGAAGAAGAAGAACAAATTAGTGAATTTGTTGGAAAATCCTAAGTGAAGAGCTTAGGTGGTGGATGTAGACTTCATTGAGGGAGTTGAACCACTATAAATCATTGAGCAAATTTTCCTATCTTTATACTCCTTACTCCCTAAACTTCAAAAAGCCAATTCACCCCTTCTTGGTACATTTTTGGTTGATCGTTTTGAGCCTAACAATTGGTGTAACACCCCTAACCCGTATCCGACCCGAATATGAGTCTGAGGTGTCACAATAACTTTTCAGAATGTTTTCTTTACAAATTGGCTAAAATTTAAATTCACAATCCAAGAAAATGAATATTTTTCATTAATTAAAATCAGTTGGTTTTACAAAACATATCAGAGCATATTCAACTCAATTCTCTTAGTACATGCCAACTATATTTAATATAACAAAACACACATGATTCAAAACTCTTTTCTGATCTGAACTTCGTAAAGGAGAGACTGACATGTCTTGCTCCTCTAAGCTTCTCTTTTTGCTTCCAGAACCTACGTGTGAAACACTCACACGCTAAGTCGATGACTTAATGAGGCATAAATAAACTTAAATATAACATCCCATTACTAATTCCTACTATGCATACTTTATGTAATCATATTAAACTATAAGACACACTATGCACCCAAAACATAAATACATACATATACATATCATCTCATTATCCTTATTATTATTCTTATCATTATTAACATTATTATCATTCATATCTCTTAGTTATATGCTCTGTGCCTAACATTCTTAACCAAACAATATACGCATAATCATATAATTTATATAACACATTTTATATCACAAAAGCATATATATCACATATAGTATATTTGTTGTTATTTCTTTATTAGCCCATGTATACTTCTGAGAACTAAAAATATGTGAGTTCAAAGAGGTTGTGCACATATTCTGTCACCACAGCTCGTATAATTCCCACTTAGTGGCATATGAATTTGTCTCGAAGGACCGCATAGAAATGTTCTGAAGGACCACATATCACATGTATGTCCCGAAGGACCACTCTTTAAGGACCACATACATAATTCAATTGACCAAATAGGTGTACCGAAGTACCACATATATCTTCCAAAGATTACATATATGTCCCGAAGATCACATAGAACCCTCGACTCTTGGCATGCCAACTATACCTCTAGCTCTCATGACACATAACATAGACATTATCATTTATATCATTTCATATATTCATATCACATAGGCTCGTAGCTTCTTATCACATAGTTTCTTATCACATAACTCATATAACATTTTCGTATGATCTCATAGCTTATAATTTGTTCTCTTATGTTCACATATCACATGTTCATATCATTACTTATGTCCATATCATATAATTTATATAATCACATAGATCACTTATACCGGTTCATATGGCTTATCACACTAACATATATTCATACAGATCATGTAACATATGCAATAACATGTAACACATACACTCATATCAAACACATGCTTACATTCATGAATTTATGCATTCTACTATAGGAAATAGACTCGTCGCAAGTCCTATTTTCATTAAACATCATATACCACTAGTATGCACTCACCTGGCCTCACTAGTCAATATCGATTTCTTATCTTTTTCTTGATGATTATTACTTGATCGACTTGTCCAGATTTTGCTCTCGATTGTTATCTACACAATCATACAATCCAATAAATATCAGAATTCGAATTACTCACAAAGATTCTTACTATTGTAAGCTAATCAAAACAAAAATTTCTAAATTCCAATTCAAGTAGTATCGGTACTACAAGCACAATATTGATACCTCTATGCTTGTAGTATCGATACCCTTCTACGGTATCGATACATATTTTTGATTCTGTAATCCTTATTTCAAAATAGTACTGATACTTGCTTAATGGTATCGATGCCCCAGTATCGATACTACTCCTTTGGTATGGATACTCTTTGAACGATTTATAAATTTTTAGCCTATGGTATCGATACTGATTCATAAAGCATCGATACCCTCTCTCAAATTTTGATTCTTTTTCTCTTTGAAGTATTGGTACTAGATGAACATTACCGATCCCCCATGCCAAGAATTCATCTTTTTAAACCTGAAATTTACTCATATCTGCTTAAAACCTTTATTTCTTGCTCCCTTTCATACCCTTAAACTTAACTATATTTATTCAAATAATCTTATAACCATATAACCCATCATCATCTTTAATAACTCATCTTAATTCTTGAAACCAAGAATCTTACGAAATTTCTAACATGTTCGTAATTCACTTCTATTACTTCTAACTTCTTAATTAGACCCTTGACAAGTCAAATTCAACTTAAAAATCCATTTACTCATTCATTTTCAATAATTCACTTAAAAACTCTATTTACTTAATCTCTCATAACTCATTCACCTTTGAGTTTTTACTTATCTTTAAGCTTCCTTAAACTTTCTTAAT